TTCCACCTCTGCATTATTTTGCTAAATATTCATTGTTGCTATCCACAACATGATTTAAAAACCTGCACTTGGTCGTGAAAAACTTCATAGTTCAATGCATCTTGATTAAGCTGGCTTTCCCCCCCCTATACTTCTTCTCACTTCTTTTTAGATAAGTTGCTGTACAACAGCCTAAATACCTTTCACCTCCCAAAACCCATAAGACTATTCTAAGAATCTTACTTTGGAAGGAACCTTCCATTTATATGACTGTAATCTTCACCTTCCAGGCAATGGGATCATGAAGGACTCGGAGTACAGAATGGAGATGAGAGATGCGTCAGCAAAAGACAGGACTCAATCCCACTAAAGGAGTTGGATTTTGTTTCCAGTGATAGGAAATAAAAGTCAAAGTTTCAGCAGGCACATGGTGCCATCTGAATTGTGTGCTTAAAAGCTAGTATTGGTTATTGTATGTGGTGATTATAAGGAAGAAAAATCTATAGAGTTTAGTCAGAAGGAGACAATGAAGCCTTGATTCTGCTTCCTTGAAAGTGCAGTTGACATACTCATGGTTTGCATGTAAGACATGAGGCTAGATAAGGCAAATACCTTAAATAATTGGCCCGAGTAGAATTTTCAATGGGAAAATAATTTTAAAAGTGAGAATTAAGAATGAACTGTCAAAAATAAGTGTTGGTAAGGATGGGAAGAAATCAGAATCCCCATACACAATTAATTGGTTAGAATGTAGGATAAATAGCACACAGTTGCTTTGGAAAACAGGCGGTTTCTTAAAAAGTCAAACACAGAGCTATCATTTGGCCGAGCAATTCCACTTCAAAGAGAAATGAAAACATATATGGATTGGCCATAGCAGCAGGACGTTTAACAGCCAAAACTGGACAACAACACAAATGTCCATTAAGAGAATCAATGTATAAACAAAATGTAATATATCAACACTGCAGAATATTACTCGACCATAAAAGGGACGTGTTCCTAATATATGTTATGCCATGGATGAACCTTGAAAACATTACACTAAGTGAAAGAAATCAGTCATCAAAGATGACATTTTACATGATTCCATTTCTATGAACTATCCATAATAGGTCCATCTAGAGAGATAGGAAGTATGCTGGTGTTTGTCCAGGTCTGAGAGGGAGTGGGGAAAAGGCTAGAAAAGAAGATGGCTAAAGAGTAAAACTGATTGTGGTAATGGTTGTACCATTGTGCAAATATATCCAAACTCCACAGAATTATACACTTGAAATGAGTGAATTGTATAGGATGTGACCTGTACCTCAGTATTATAGTAATTAAATAGAACTAAAGATAATAGACAAAAATTAAAAGATAATTAAAATAAATTTTAAAAATGTATCTTTACTTTCAAAGAGGTTTTTAAATTCTCATAAGAAAAAAGAAAACAGCAGCTACCTGATAAAATGGCTTAACAGCTCAGTGGTTCTTAAACCTCACAGATCTTGAGAATCACCTACAAGATCCGTTAAAACCCAGGCTGCCGCCCTCCCCTCCCTAGGACTCCTGATTCAGCAGGTCTGGGAATGTACATTTCCAGGAAGTCCAGGTGGTGCTGGCACTCCCACTTTGAGAACCACTGGCCCAGTAATTCACCAGCAAGGCTGGCCAGCATTACCTTGTTCCACATGCTCGATGACCCTGAGGGCCTTCCTTGCTGCCCATCCTCCCATGGAGACATGGTCTTCTGTGGCAGCGCTGGTGGACAGAGAGTCCACAGAAGAGGGGTGACACAAGGCCTTGCTCTCAGAAACTGTAAGAAGTCAGTACAAGTTACAGACTGCATGTTAAACTGTCAAAACGACGTGTGACTTCCTCAAAGTGCTCTCCAGAATAGAAGCCCCTCTCTAATGCCTCTTCATGGCTCAACACCAGGGAACACCCCACTTAGTTTGGGAAGACCAAACTGGTGGATTTTCACCTCCTAAAGTAACAAAGCTTTCATGAGTACTAAGATAATCCCAGGAGGGAAACAGATTACCTAATGTGTCAGATTACCTAACAAACAAGGGAAACAGACTCACTTGTGCTTATTTATGCTGTCAACACAAACGCATGTGGTCTGAATCTACCACCAGCTGAGAAAGGTGGGAAATCTCCTCCAGTGCGATTTACTGCCTCTGAAAACCCGCTGGAGGGTCAGCTATTGGCTGGTTACAACTAAACAGTATACAGCAATTAAAACAGTGGCGAATTAGCTCTGGTGGCCTAACGATTAAGGAATTGTGCTGCCAGCCCAAAGGCAGGAAGTTCAAATCCACCAAGTGTGCTTAGGGAGAAAGATGGGCAATCTCTTCCTTTACAATATCTGAAAACCTGTTGGAGGTTCAGCTATGAGTTAGTTTCTACAAGATGGCAATCAAGGGGGGAGAGAGAGAGAGAGAGAGAGAATAATTTCACATTTCCCTCCACCACATCATTGATTCTGCTGCTAGATATGGTTGGCCCTTACCCTCTCTCAACCCCAAAGTGCTTCCTCTACAGAATCAATGACTCTTCTCAAATTCCCCAGTAAGCAAGGTAAACACTGGTTTACTTGCTAATTAATTTTTATTATTATTTTACTACAGATTAGTAAATAAATCTATGCTTACCATGCTTGGGCAATCCAAACCAGAAGGGAAGCTGAAAACTGTACTGTTACAAGGCCAGTTGGAAAACATAAATACTTAGCATGGTAGGGAGACTGGGGAGAGGGCAGGAGTGGGTAAGACATGATAACCATGTCCAGTATTTGGGGACAATTTAACTGGTTTTTACACCAGAGGAAATGGAATTAGAATTTGGGGATAGCATTTGGGGCTGAACTCATAGATGTTAAGCAGAAGTATTTGACAGACCACGCAACAGTGACATAAACTCCATTTCTGGGACCTTTAACTAAGGGTTCAATGGTTAACAGGGTTTGGTGATGAGGATGTTTAAAAGATAAAGAGAAGCAGCCACAGAAAGAGAGAAAAAAAAGGGAGAGGGAGAGGA